GGAAGATTAAATTCACTACTGGCAGATTTCATTCTGCACAGTGGTAAGTCCTGTTGTACTGTTTTTTTTGTTTTGTTTTGGGTTTTTTACCTCTTTGTTTGGCTCTTAATCTAGTACACGGTTTAGCAGAAGCTGGAAGCAAGCCTGAACTTGCTTGTATTTGTTGAACTGATTGCTTAAAGTGTGATTATCTTGCCATGCACTTCTGAAGGTTTGACGCTTTCTTCAGGCTAATAGCTGTAGTGATCTTAAAAAGGAAAAAAGTCTTACTTGAGCATTTCTATATTCAGCTATATGTTACTGCTTGCGCATTTCATTATTAAAAGTTGGATTGCTTGCTTGCTTCAACATAGGTTTGTCTATCTTCCAATCAATGTTGTCCTGAAGACTTTTCAACTTGAAAATCATAGAATGGAAGAATCATAGAATCAACTGATACAGTTTTCAGAATGTTAGATGCAGGTACTTATCCTCCATGTGAGGAAAGGTCCTGAAAGTTACGTATGTTTTTCTGTGCCAGTGTTGTCATTTTTCATTGGTTCTATTTCAATGTCACTTTTAGTAAAACAAAAAGAACTGTTATGCCACTCTGAGTTGTTGTACCTCCTTGTCTAAGCCCCTTTCATAAGATGGGAAAAGACCGAACATGAAAATCAGTTTGAAAAGAAGTGTGAGAAACATCATCTTCTGTGAAAGAAATTTGGATGATCCCATATAAGGCTTGGGATATGCAACACAAATTGCAATTTGTGTCCTGCCAAAACATATTTTCTTGGAAAAAAAGCCCAGATGGTTTCCTTTGTATTGTTTTTTCCACGTAGCAATTTAGATGTTTTACCCTCATTTCTATAAAATTGAATGGTCAAGTGTCTTCCAAGAAGCTTGATTTTTGTATAAACGCTACAACATTTTCCTGTTTTTAGTAACCATGTTGAATGATGACTTTTGTCTTAGTTATTCTATATTGGAGAATGTGATAGTACAGCAAGAATCAGTTTTATTTAAGCAAGGCCAAATTCCCCTTGTTTTTTTTTCCTTTCTTTTTTTGATATTTATTTCTATCAAAAACTGTAGGAAAAATCTATTTTGCCTTGCTGCTGAGAGGAAAAGTTTTGTTTTGCAGGATGTATGCAACCATGTGCACTAATGTTGAAGACTATTGTTTACTGAAACTTGTTGTGGTACAAATATGGATGTGAAAATCAATGTATGCATATAAATGTGTATATATCATATATACATACACACCATGTACCTGATGCTGTACAAACATTCCTTAGGGTTTGTTATGACTGATTCAGCAATTAAAGCTATGGAGGAGATTAAATTCTTTTTTAATTGATATTAATTACATTGAAATAGATTAATATACTGGATAAGGTGGTCCTTGAGTTCTGCTTTTCTGTATGGTTCTTGAACTTAAGCCTTTAGTAAGGATAAACCATTGTATGAAACCATTCAGTGTTTCTCTTCTAGCCTGCGATGCAAACATTCACAAGTGTGTGTAGATTTGTTTAGCTGTTTGTTACTTGAATCTTTGGCTGAGTAGTCAAACTAAAACAGGTGTCAGTTTAACCCTTTGCTCAGACCCACAAAATAGGTGTGACTATGAACTTACTGGTATCTAACCAGCTGTATAGCTAGGCCAGATCTATAACATGTCTTTGTAAATCTTGATGGATGCATTGACAGTTTCTATCCCAGCTGAAACCCAGACAGTATAGAAACAGAAAATGGCTTGGGCTTCAGCTTCTAGCAGTGTTGGCATTTTGTGGTCAAACTGCCTTCTCAGCAGGCAGTTTCTTCCTTTCTCGGTCTACTGCATGTTTCGTTTATAAAGTACACTGCAAAAAGTAATGGTTCTTGCAAATTTGGAAACAAAGTTTGTTCTGTGCTAGGTAATCCTCTGCATTGTTATGTGGTTTATAGAGAGATAGGTTGGGATCCAAATAACTGATAATACATGGCTATTTGAGTTCTTGAAGTAACAACACTGGAGGTGTTCCAGAATAAGGTGTAGGCAAGTTACCGCATGTAGAAAAAACAGTATTTAGATACTGAAAAGAGTGTGTGGGGGTATAAATATATATGCCTATATAAAAATATATATTTATTTATGAATATATAACTAAAAGCTACTTTCCTAAGTGTCTTTTTTGTTACTGCTGAAGGTGGAGGGATTGAGAAAATGATACTGTCTGAAAATAAACACTAACACCTCAGGGGAAAAAAATACCCAAACACCACCATGAAACCCAGAACTACCAAGGAAGGTGGAAGTGGCTGAGATAACCAATTGCAACTCCAACTTTAAGATGCTTAGACTGATATGCTAACCTTGTAGGAGTTTTATACACTTGAACATGTGGTGGTTGGGTTTTTGGTTTGGGTTTTTTTTTTTTTTTTTTCATTAATGGGTACATGAAAGACTATTCTCTGGCACAAACAGTGCCTGCCTGATACTTTTTGCTCACTTTAGTAGTTTCTGTACTAATTATTTCTCATTCTATACTCAGAATATATATTCAACTTCTTAAGACACTATGTATTTATATTTGTATTTTTCAGGGTTTAGAGATGGGTGGAGGCCATACTGTTGAATTTTATCTTTTGTGGCTAGAGGCTTACGTGAAAAGCTTGAGGAAATGTTGATGTCTGAAATTTTTAAAGGAACGATGAGTGTTTAGATAAGTACGCAGGTTGGGAAAGGACAAAGTTAAATCTAAAAGCTGATTGTTAATCAGTTTAGCTCAATGCAAGGCTTTTTGAATTTAAATGACTTAGGAATCTTTTAGTGAGGGTTAACTCCCTAACAAACTTCATCTCTCTTGAGAGGTTGGTATCTGATTGGCCTGTAGAGTTCTCACTGTAAAAAGTTTTAATTGTATGAATTTCATATTCAGGATAAGAAGACACTTCTCAGACTTGTGGACAGTGATCAAAGCTGATAAAAAAATACTGCCCCCAAAATGAAGTTAAAGAGATTAGCAAGAATCCAAAGACGTATTTTAAATAATAGAACATTAATATTAAGTGTGCTGCATTGATTTTTACGTCTCCCAGAAAAATATGGGTTTGTTAATAATCTTTTTTCTTATTATTATGTCACATTATATATATATGTATGGTGTAAGTATGAAGAGGTTTGTTTTTTACCTGATTTCGATTACCACTTTTTGCAAGTGTGGGAGTAATAGTTATTCACAAAATTTTGCAAGAAAAGACTTCTAGTGATAGAGTTAGTGATTTAATAATTTATTTCATAATCATAATAAAGTGCAATTGCCAGTAGCAATGATAACAGTTGTGCTCCATTCAGTACAGGATTTTAAACTTATTTGTATGTGGCTTTGGGGAATGAGGTGTGGTGTAAAGATTTATTTATGACTGCTTTTCTGAATAATAACTTAGTTATTCAAAAGACATTGGGGAAATCTTACAGGAAGAGGTTTTGCCCTTTATTGGAGGAATTGATAGAGTACAAAAGTAGGCAATCTTTTAAGCTTCAATTCTAGATCATAAGTAGTGCCCTTTTTGTCAGGAAATACTTTGAAGAATAAGGTATCAATACCTACTACCATGGATATATTCTGGGCATATGATTTCTTTTCTTTCTAATTGCTACTTAAGTCTTACGCCATTCTACTGAAGCTGTTCTTTCTTTTCCAGGCTGCTTAAGGCTAGTACCTGCACGCCAGGACAGCTGCTACAGTCAGCAGGTTTCCCTAAGGCCAATTTACTCTTTATACAGGAAGAGGGAGGTGAAAAAAACCTGTTGACTGCTGTTGATCTGAAACCTTCTTTAAAGAGATGTGATTTCAGGCTGTCTCAAACACCTTCAGAATGGTAGGTTCTGTATCCGCTTTGGATTCTGTAAATCATGAATTTGGATATGGCTCATGAAAGAAGAACTCAGGTGGAATCTGGACAGTGCAAGAGCTGAGTTGGAAAATACTGAGGCAAAACTGTTATGGGCACTTGAGATATCAAATATCCCTAGCATGGAGGCCAGAACTTGCCTATGGGGTTATGCCTCTGCTACTGTTTGTAGCCAAGGGAAAAATGCTTCCTTGACAGAGTTGAAAAGCTAGTAGTTACCTGTTTCCCCTCGTGACAGTTCTTTGAAGGGCCTGATCTGCAAGATGTATCTTGACACCTCCATAGCTTTCTGACTGTGGTTATTTAAACAGTTAAGGCGCTTCCCCCTGTGTCGTGTTGTCCCCCCCCCCCCCCCCCCCCGGTTCTCTCCCTTTCTA